AAGTCCTTGTTTTTTACTGCTGAGTAGTACTCTAATATGTATATATTCCATACTTTCTTCATCCATTCTTCAATTGAAGGGCATCTAGGTTGTTTCCAGGGAGCAAGGCCACTCTTATCAAAGAAAGCATTCACGTACCTTGCTTATACTTTCTGAGGTTGGTCTGTTACCATCACGGCAGGGAGCATGGTGGCACGCAGGCAGACATGGTGTTGGAGAAGTAGCTGAGAGTTCTATTACCTGATCCACAGGGAGAGAGAGGTTGACACTGGGCTGGCATGGGATTTTGAAATTCAAAGCCCACCCCCAGTGCCCTTCTTGCTCCAATGATGCCACATCTACTCCAACAAGGAACCACACCACCTAAGCCTTCTCAAAGAGTGCCCCTCCCTGGAGACTAAGCATTCAAATATGTGAGCCTATGGGGGTCATTCTTATTCAAACCTCCACACCACCTCCAGATTCCAAGAGATTTGAGCTCTGTGTTTGCCAGATGCATATCCCTGGGATGGTCTACGCTGTAACTAAGAGAACATGAGCAGACGAAAGCTTCCCTTTTATCCCACATTGATGCTCCCCCACTTTTCTGCAAAGAGGATGTGTGAAATTTCTCTCTTTTTTAGCATAAGGTGACCTTCTCCCCACTTTGTGCTCTTATAGGGGTAGCATAAACACAACTTGGTCAGTGATGTTTCCCTTCCAATTCTGCAGTTGCTTCTAGGCTACAGTCTGAGACATTATACCAGGATATCAGATGTGCACATGGCCAGAGTTTTGTGGAACTCATCAATTTCTCAGACATGCACAGACAGGTGTTCTCTTCAGGTGCTTAGCTGACTTTGGGCAAATGAAAACATCGTGCAACTTACTAAAACGGGAAACTCAGAGATTTGAATTGTGCTGCTGCTTGAAGAAGCAGGCCCACTGGTGAAAGAAAGTGTCCTTGTGAGTGGGCACAAATATCCACAGGGGAATTTCCTTTTATTTATAGAAGCAGCTATAGAATGAGATGGTGGGGCATGCAGACAGGATACTACCTTAGGAAATTCCTAACGCATTGAATAAGTTAACGATGTACGCCACCCTTGGGGAGCTGGAGAGATAGATGGCTCATGGTAAGAAAATAATCTGTTAAAATGGAGGCAGGTCGCCTGGTGGTAGTGGCACACATTTAATCCCAGCACTCGGGAGGTAGAGGCAGGTGGATCTCTGTGAGCTCAAGGCGAGTATGGTCTACAAGAGCTAGTTCCAGGAAGGCTCCAAAGCTACAGAGAAACCCTGTCTCAAACCCATCCCCCAGTGGAGGCAGGTAACATCAGATGATTCATGTCAGAATGGCAGGACCACAAGCCGTCTAGACAGTTGGTCTATAGCCTTGAGAACTGGGGTGGTTGACAGGGGTTCAAGGATCCATGAATTCAGGGCAACAGAGAAATCAGTACACTCTGGTTCGTGGCATCTTTTGGCCATAATAGGAAAGCTTTTGAGAAATTACATTGCCAGTGATAATCCCTGAAATGAGCTGAGGAATTTTTACAGAATTGCAATCCTTCACGTACTATATAGTACATAGAAGGACCTAACCCTAATCCTTGGGGAGCTGAACAGATAGATCGTTCATTAGTTAGGAGTGATACTTGTTTCCTCAGAGGACCTGAGTACAAATCCCAGCACTCAAGACAGGAAGCTCACAACCATGTGCAGCTCCAGCCTCCGGGATCCAACACCACTGGGCCCTGCATTCACATACATATACACAGCACTCCTACAGAGAATTACAATAAATCTAAAAGAAAACACAACCAATGAAAATTAAAAGAGTTGTTGCCTGTCCTGTTGTATTTTGAGGAAAATGTTGTTTCTGTTCATTAAAAAAAAAGCCATTTAAAAAATTTAAAAGATGCCATTTCATGGTGAGAAAATAATCTGTTAAAAATGGAGTCAGGAGACATCTCATGATCCATGTGGGAACAGCAGGACTGTTTCCTCTCACTCTCCCCAATCCAGAGCCCCTGCACATACAAACAGTGTCTCTATTACACTCCCACACTGCCTACAGGGATTTTCCACTGTAAACACAGTGAGGCCTGCACCACATAGCTCAGGGAAGTCCATGAATTCCAGAGCTTTCTAACATTCTTCAGAGGGCTGGACTTCAAACCCGCCTGTCACCTGGTGTGGAAGGAATATTGAAGGTTTCTGCCACGTTCCCGCCGTTTTTTCTTAATCTCATCTGCTGCTTCCTCTTGTGGAGGTTGTGTGGCAAGAGAGGCTGCTCATCTCAGCCACTGGGAGGACCAGACTCTTCCCATTGCAGCGGCCACCTGGACACTTACCTCACCCTGCAAGAGCAGGGATGGAAGGAACATTGTGAAACACC